CTGTATGTTTCACTAGGAACCCAAGGGACAAATAATAATACTAATAATTTGGTTCCAACTCAGTAGCTGGATGGTAATACACTTCCTGTGGAAACTAATGGTCTCTACCTTGATCCTCTCCGGAGTCATGATATGCACTGCTGACGAATCTTAGGCTAGGATGAAACACGTATCCAATGCTTCCAGATTTTTTATGCTTCTCCAATTGACATCAGTCCTTCCAATTAATCAGTTTGCAAAAACCACCAATGTATTTTCAGATAGACTAGATGACAGGGTAAAACTGTTCATCCTGAACAATACGGCGTATTTACAGACGTGAAAAAACTCATGTTTCCATGGCAGTTCATACCTCTGTCAGTCAACCATGTAGTCATGGATAGCTATTACCGAGCTGTTTTCATCAATGCTAGCCTTCTGCAACACTGGTCACTGGGGAGTAACGAATGTCGGGTTGTAGCCCGGTGTTAGCTGGTGATCGAACCTCATTGATCTTTATCTTGGGGCAGGTGGTGGGGGCGGAGAACAGTGGAAGATCTAACTGTTACCATTCACATGGAATTAATATACTACTAAAAATAATTGAATTTAAACCTTTATAAGATATTTGGCGTGTACAAGGTGTAGACATCAATGGCTACTGAGTAGTTATATCGTTATATTCCTGCAGACTAACGATCAGCTATACCACAGGTCACACTTAGACACTAAATATCCTGTCATCATTAGGCCATTGGAAATCCTAGATCTAGTTAAATTTGATTCATAAGTGGCGGGTAAACTGATACTAATGGTTCGATAAGTAATTCTTCACCTCTAACAGTCATGCATGTATTCTGTAGCGTTTATTATAAACTAAACTACTATGAACTGCTGCAATGGTCACAGATTACTCTGCCGAGGAGACAAGCAATTAACCATAACAGTCTATAAGAGTAGGACATGTTACTTGGATGGAGGCAGTTGGCAGTTGGCCCTGCTCCACCTAGGTTTCTTGCTTGTTGGCACTCATCAGTAAGGCGTATCTGCAACCTCATCACTGACTGCAACAGTGGGTAGTGGGGTTTCGATTCTTACGGGGGACATCAGTTCCCTCCAGGTTGCACATACCCCTTGCTGAAAAGTGCTAACAAGCACGAAACCTAGGTGGAGTAGGGCTTCCTGTCAGTCGCCTCCAACTAACTAACATCTATCGAACATAATCACTGTCGGGTACTGTATTTTCTGCAAGTTTATTTTATTTTTCAATAGTAACTCAGATGACTACCGAACGCCTCTGCGTGTCTAGGTTGTAAAAATACATCGGCCATCAACATTTAACCTAATTTACGAAGTCTAATAATAATTAAGCTCGAAGGTGTATCTCCAATATATGTGTATATGACAACTTTTTGTGATTATCCTGTGATCAGCCTAGAACACATTGTACATAAACAGATAAACATCCGCACACACTTCTCAATTTGTATGAGTCATTACGCATACCTTTAAACGGTCTTGATGACTCATCGACTGTATTAATGAGGTTTTTTTTGCTAGTAGTAAATGAGGTAGATACAAATCAAGTGCAGGTAATTTGAGTAATTGCACATTCGAAAATAAGGGAGAAGAAATAGTTAGTACCTACAAGTTGTTTATAGGATATCACGGAAACTTGGCCATATGCGTAGAGAAAATCAAGATGTGTACTTCTTTTAGTCTCACAATGTGTATTGCGTATATTTACGTGAAAATTTTACCTGGAAAAACACTTATAGATTCACAGTAAATACATGTTTACAAATGTTACGAAAATCGATGGTACTTTCAACTTGAAAAATGAATGACACCGAGTTTTAGTCTTCCAACAAGTATCACCTATGCTGCTGTAGACAGATCTTGTTGGGGAGTAGTAACAGACACGGAATGCAACTCCAGTCCATACTATTGGCTGCCTTCAATTGTCAAACTTTGAAAATAGGACAACAATGTTCAGACATTTAGACGCTTAACCAATCGACTTCATTTTAGATGAGGAGATATCTCTTGCTAAGGAATCATTTTCTGCGGTCAGTACCAATATGTAGGAAGCATTTGTAAGCAGTTTCGCTTAACCATTCACTCGTCGGTGTAATTTCAATGGCACTTTTAACTTTCAGTCGTAAGAAGAACGACATGAATAATGGATTCCGAATAGGTGGTCAGTGTACTGTTCATCCAATTGTGTATATCTGCTACTTTCTTTCTTTGTGTTTGTGGTCTCTCTGACATTAGTCACACCTTCCCAAGGGATAGGCTAGCAGGCAAGATGTCTGGTATGCATTACTACTAGATTTCATGAAATATAGCTATGAATTTGTCAACTTCTTTGCAAATCCCACAATCATACGATCCCAAGCTTTTATTCACTGTTAATAATTAGGGTAGATCTACAACCTAGAAAGAACTGTTGTCTCTTGACAGATTCGAACCGGCTTCACCCAGTACTATGGTCAATATTTTCATAAAATTCTACGCAAAATACCTAACTTGTATTGTTTAGAAATGAAGAAGTACACCTCATCAATATGCATGCAAACCAACATAGCATTATGTACTGATCTACTGAAAAAAAGGGCATTGAATATGCCTACACTCTACCTACCGTATTTTGAGCCAATACACCAAAAGTCAGCTTTCGATTTTATGTTACCTTCCTCCAGTATCAGTACAGTATTCTGGTCACGCTTGAATCGAATACCCAGGCAGATAAGCATTTCCAAGCAAAAAAATGTGAGCCGTTTGTTTTGGGTGAAACGAATCACTTATAAGCAATTTGTCCTCAATAAAAAGGGATTTGATGCAATTCACCACCACTGGCTTTAGTCCCTTCTATCCATGTTGATAAATTCGTTTTTTTACTACTTACAATTTATAAGTAACTCAATTGTTTCTTACAAAATTTTAAGAACACCGTGTTGATGTTCGCAAACTCGAGGTGGATGAAAGCAAAATTTTTTATTATGTTCTAACTGAATCAAAATGATTTCAGTGTTAAATGGCTTCATTATCTCCTTTTTTAGGAGTTATTACTGTTAGATTCGATAATTCTTATACTAATATGCTGTAGATGGTCACAGTCATTTTGAAGATTTGACTTTACAACTTTCCTGTCTCGAATAAAATGCATGATGCAGCCTGGAACACAGTACTTGCTACTAAAAGTTGACTGGTTTTTCTACACAGACTTTGATTTGTTATTTTTGCAGTAAATTCGGGAAGAACTACAAAACTAGTCACTGCTGAAGGATTTAAAATACTCTGAAATATGTATATTATCCTCCTCTTAAATGTATGCTCAAAACAGTTGAAGGTTATGCACCGAACTTAGGTATTCTAAAAGCTATACGTTTACCAATGAACAGCTTTACTTGACTAACAATTATGACTAGAAGTGCACTTTATTGATAGGTGGACTCTATTTCAATCTGGAAGTTTATGGAGATCTCAGGTTGAAATTCATCGTCGACTGATTTCAGTTAGAAGAACATTGGAAACATGGTGGCACTAGACAGCCGTTTCGTCCTGGTATGGGACTCATCAGCGGTGCGCATACATTACCCAGGACCTTTAGGTTCCGTTGCCGGGACGTTACCACTGAGCCAATGGGTTGGAATTTAGTGTTTCAGTGGTAGCGTGCTGGCCACGGAACTTGAAGGCCCTGGGTTTGACCGCTGGTGGGGTCTTGGGTGCGCACTGCTGACGAAACAGCTGTCCAGTGCTGTCAGGTTCTCGATGTTCCGCCAACTGATGCCAGTCCATAGTGAACACCTGACTTAAACCAATATGGTCGCCTAGAACGCCCAAACTGAATTCTAATGTCAATGTCTCCCTCCACCCGACTAAATTCACTTTCAATAGTGTCACTTTGTCCCATCCATATTGTATGATTGCTTGAAATCACTTGCACAGCAACTGTCAAGTTCTCCTCCAGATTTATTATCTTAATAGGATTTACTAATCTAGTTGACCTAGTAATCATTGCAAGAGATTTGGTAAACTCAATTATTGTATCTAGTTGAACTGACAGGCCTTTTTAACTAGTAAAGCTTGTTTCTAAGCATGTCTGTAAGTTCAAATTCTGCTCTAATCTCGGCCATATTAAGAATTCACCGTAACGTCAAATCAAAATCTTTTAGACCGCAAAAACATAAGGAACCTAGAGAAAAGCTCTAATACATCCACGTATGCGACTACACACACAATAGGATGGGACTGAGAGATACTGGGTCGAGAGGGGAACTCATAACCGAATCTTTGTTTATCGAATCAACACTAAATGCATGCAATAGGAATGATTCAGCACCCGTTTCAGAAATGTGGAAAATTCTGCTACCCTTATTATCAAGAAGGAGAGAGAATTAGAGTTGTGTACATCGTGTCTGGATGTTGGCATGTTACAGGATGCGAATATAGTCAAAAATCATATTGAAAACGTTATCCAATAAATTATACTGTTTCCCTGCTATTCATCTAATAATTAAACCAGAATGGAAGTAAAACTATCCAGAAATATAGACCTTCTGAATGAATGGACTAAATAATTAATCCGCTTGTCCCATGGTGGACAATGTCACATCTGAGCATGGTACACTGAACGTCATTCGGTTCAAGTGAATAAACACAGTGATAAAATTTATTGATCAAGAAAAGTTCGATGGACACTACTGACCAGAGAATAAGATTACGCGTTATCTAATTAATAACCGATTCACTCATTCATTCCAACTTGAATTATAGGTTAGCCGAAATGAAAACAACTCAGATGTTACGTCTCCATCTCCAGTACCAAGGTGAGAACACTGTTTACTGAATAATGCGAACAAGTCTGCCTAACGGATTAAAGACAACCGTGTAAGAGCATTCAGAGATCTAGGGACAGATATAGTGACACAGAGTGATTCATTTGTGCATTGAATTTATTTTTAACACCTCAACCTATTAAACGTATTCCTTGTTTTTCTTTGTTTGTTTTCCAACAGCCAACAACCTGACTATGCTGCTAGCGAATATTTCACAACAAAGAAACAAAGGTGTGGAAAATTTTTTGTTTTACTTGCAAACAATGATACAATGCTCCATCTCCTATCTGAACGTTTTTTCTCCAATGTTATTCTAAAAATATTATTTTTTTTCGAAATATTAATTTATGAAACAAACAAACAAACAATGGCTACTGCTCATTTTTCCACCAATAAAAATGTTTACAGAAGCTTGTGTGCACGTGTATTTTAGTGTGTGTGTGTGCGCGCCTTTGATTCGTGAATCTATCGACTGAGTGGTAAACAGACAGGTAAAAGTTGTGCATTTTTTTGCAAACCAACAGTTTGTTTAAAAGACACTTCTCAATAGAATTTGATTTCTGGTTTTTAATCATTTTAATGAATTGGTTGTTTTCACTTAAAATGCGTCAATGAATTAAAACACTTTCTTATTTCTTTTATTGATCAACGAAATAGTGATACTTGTGTGTGTGTGTGTGTGGAAGATTCTTTTTTTTTGTCAATCTACTCATGGATTACTTTCTTTCATGATTTATTTCAAGTGTTTGTTGACCATTCACTGTCTAGAATCAGCTTTGAATTGACAGACGTATGTGGATAGGTAGATTTTTTTTCAACTACGTCTGTCTGCCTATCTATTTATTGACAAACAGCTACGATGATTACTGACCAAAAATTTCGCGCGAAATCATCACCATATTCAAAATTAAACCATTAAAACACTAACTACACAGCTGCTCTTTCTCTACAGTCTCTTTGTTTATTAAAGAATTTGATTTCTTCTTCATTTTGTTTTGTTTTGTTCACATGTGGTTTTTTCCTGTCTTCTCGTGTTGGTGTATAATAAATATTATTCGATGTGAACTTCAGACAGATGATGATCAGATTTAGAGGAGAAACAATGAAAGAAGCCAAGGAGGAATAGGAGTTTTCTGGTGGGGTTATTTTTATTTTTGTCTTTTTGAAAGAGAAATGAGTAGATAAATAACAATTTTCATGACGGTTTGGGCTTGAAAAGCTTGAAAATAAACAGGAAAATGATGAAACGAAGTAATTTGATCAATTATGGTAGTAGGATGGGGTTTTAATGTTCTATTTTCCATTGATGAAAAGCCTGACCGCTTTTTTTTCTTCGTGTTTTCGTTGCTTACTTTGAATTTCTCTCCTTTTCTCTATAATAGATAACAGTTATCTTCTGTTTAAACGTGGGGATGTGTGATTTCTTCTATGTGTAAGTATGCGTGTTAACAGATTGTGGATATTGCTCTTAAGAAATGGAAAAATCTGGCAGTCTGTTTTTCTGCTTGTTTTTTTCTTCTAGAAACAGTAAAAAAAATAAAAGTGCACAAAAGTTTCACAAATTTTTCACAAGTTTTTTGTATTAGTTTACGGCGGTGATTGATAGACATTTAAAGGAATCTTTTTTTTGAAATAAATTGACTGTACCATCTTATTTTGTCGTTTTCAAGTAGTGTAGGTGTCATTAAAAGCGTTATCAGTCTACATTGAACTTATAGTGTCGAAACCACCGTTGAATATTATATGCCTGATGTGTATTCCTCACAGAAGTTGAAGAACTAATGAAACTCTCTACCGGAGAGCAAATACTTGTACCTTCTACTGAAAAAACAATGTTCCAGTCTTCGGGCAGCAGGAAACTGTCAACCGATCTTATAACCCTGTTAGAACTCATTTCCCTTGTAACAGTATCAACTTTTCACATTGTTGGGTTCTTAACTTTCTCTGACATTCCACTGCCAATAATTTAGCATCATATATAAGTTCTTCTAAGTCTACAGTTCATGCTATTAATTGGAATTCACAGAGTACGCCAGAGATTTCAATATCTGTACTGGGCACCAAACAAAAGAAAAAGCCTTTTGATGAGCTGTATTTCTGTAACCTACATAGATGACCCAAGTAAAGTTGTACACTTAACCCCAGCTAAGTAGTGTAGTGAACCCATAGAATTCACCCTTTGAGTACTGAGAGGCCTTTCATTTAACTCTTGTGGTCTTGCATGTGTATGTGTATATTTACGTCCGAAGGTGAAACGTGCAATGGTCGACTGCAACCCAGTTTGGAGATGCCTGAGATCTCTTTGACTGAATGAAACAATCAGGACAGAGGATAATAGTATCACAAGATGTTATTTTGTAACTCCTGCTACTGCTTCTCACTGACCTGTACATGGCACGCTACTATCAGGCGTTGCATTGGAATACATTATAAATCTTAACTAATTTATTAAAGTTGTGGGGTCCACATCAGTGGAACAAAAAAAATTGTTTGAAAGTAATTACCGGTCAATGGCTGCCATTTAGATAAATAACAATGGGTACCTGCAGCTTAACTGTCAAACTTGCAATCTATCTAACCGTGACTGACACTTACATTTGGAAGATAAACTGAAGGAAATGTATTATGCGATGCAACACTATTAAACAGAGCATTAAATATAGGCTTCTTTAAGCCGGACTGAAATACTATCATCTGCAGCTGCAAAGAATTCATAACCTGAAGTCAAGAATTTACCCACTTGAAATTTTGGGCTACTGATAAATATTAAGTATCATTTGACTATCTGAGATAGCCGTAGTTTGGCAGACTAGTATTTATACTGGGTGGTGATTGGGGGTGAGATGAAAATTTTGACCGAGGCCGGACTCGAACCAGCGATCACCAGGAGTTTCTGCACCCTCTGAGGACAAAATATTTCATGACCCCTAGATTTGTCCCCTTTTCCCGGCGTTTACCAGTGAAAATGTTGACTGGGTCATTTTCAGTAAACTTAGTACTATCTAGAGGCTACGATACAAAATAATGAGGATAGAAAATGGCCTACTGGTTACAGCTTGAGAGGAACCAATGGGTCTGAACAGCTTCATCCAGGTTAACAGATGTAGCAGAATGAATTCCTACAAGTTTCCAACACATTGACAACTAAGGTAAACCGAGATTCACTTCAGACAATTTAACATCAAGGATTATTAAAAACAAAAGAATCACTTAAAGTCCCTCAGTCGTCAGCAACCGTGTAGTCCAAGTTTAAACTGTTCGGCAGTGCACAGCCATGACGTCGTGTAGGCTGGGACCTACAATCGTCAGATCTCCCAGCAAGCACTTTATCACGCCGCCTCTTGACCAGAACCCGGTGGCTTATGACTGCCAATTACGCCGACTTCTGGTGTGACGTGAAACCTATCAAGACCTTTTGGAGGTACTTGTCTTCACATCCGAATGTGACTAAGATGCAGAACGAGACATCCTACTGGAACCTCAAAGGGTTCATCTCGAAGCAAATCACTAGGGGTTATGGGATGATTGTGAGATATGAGGGTCTTGGCTTTAATCCTATATGGGAATGGTTATTTAAGATGTTAAGTAGTCTCAAACAAAGACGAGACAACTGTTTTGTAATGATAGGTCTGCAGCGGTCCTCGAATTAACATCATTTCCCCTTGAAAACAGTTTAGAATCAACAGACCGATAGAAACCACCAACAGAATAGCCTAAATGTAGAGTAATAACCAGCTCATACAATGACCGTAAATGGAGGTGGGCAGTGATGCATGAAGAGATTTAAAATGGTGCGGAAACAGAAATGGAACTCATGAGTCATTAAGACAGTCGTGGACTACATAAATTAACGATCCGCTCCAGCAGAGATCGTTTGAACAATAAGTGAAACACTTCAATTGGCCTCCAGGTTCTCTTTGGTTGGCTTTTCATGATCGCAGGGTAAGTAGATCATTTTCAGAAGAAATCTAATTTCTTAGTTTCACAAACCCTGTGTAACATGAAGCAGAGAAGGTAGGCCAAGCGGCGTTCATTAAAACAGAGTTGTTCCTTGATATAACTATGAGCTATGATGGGAGCAACCTCGCCTGGTTAACTAGTTTACTAGTTACTAGCCGGTCCTAAGCCCGGGTAAAGAGGGAAGGTTGGGCATAGGGCTAGCAACCCTACCCCGTAAAACAAATCTAACCGCTAAAGAAACTTCAAAGCACAAACAAAATATAAAAAATGAAAACAAACTTATTCCCCGCTGGAATCGGAGAGGCGAAATGACGCCAGTTGGTGAAAGCCTTCGGGAAGCCAATTGGCCGATGTGTCTTCTCTCCCTCGATGAAAGCGAAAGTAAACGTGGGGACATGGAATGTCCGCACGATGTTTGAACCCAGTAAGGCAGCCCAGATTGCAAAGGAGATGAGAAGGTATAACATCGAAGTGCTTGGGATTTGCGAAAGCAGATGGAATGGGAGTGGACTCTCCAAACTGTCAACTGGAGAATCAATAATCTACTCCGGTCACCCAGACGCCAACCACGAGCACACTGAGGGAGTGGCTATCATGATGTCCCCAAGAGCATCGAAGGCTCTCATGCAGTGGGAACCAATCTCCTCCAGTCAGGATCATGACAGCAAGATTCAACTCAAAAGGAAGAAAGGTCACAATCATACAATGTTATGCACCTACAAATAATGCAGAGCAAGAGAAAAAGGAGGATTTCTACAGACAACTTCAATCAACACTGGACAAGACGTCAGTTGGCGATATCAAAATTCTAATGGGTGAGGACATGAATGCCAAACTGGGAGGGGACAACACAGGAAGAGAACTAACCATGGGTCGAGAGGCGCTAGGTGAAATGAATGAGAATGGAGAATTGTTTGCAGAATTCTGCGCATTCAACGATTTGGTGATTGGAGGCAGTGTGTTCAGGCACAAGGATATCCACAAAGCGAGACATGGATTTCACCAGATGGACACACTAAAAATCAAATCGACTTTATCTCAATCTCAAGAAAATGGAGACGCAGTCTACTTAACACAAGGTCAAGAAGAGGAGCAGATGTAGGTTCAGACCACTATCTAGTGCAAGGAACCTTCCAAATCAAGTTAAAAGCCTTCAAGGAAGCTGGTGATAGACCTCAATTCAAGTACAACACTCGGAAACTGAAGGATGAAACTACAAAGGAGATCTTCACGTCAGCCATCAAGACAAAATGGGAGACATCGAACAACATCCCTGAAGAAACCTGTGTGGAAGAACACTGGAAGTCTTTGAAAGCTATGTGGAAAGAAACCTGCACAACAGTATTAGGAAGGAAGAAGAAAGAAGACAAGGAATGGATCTCGACGGATACCTGGAAGCTGATAGAGGAGAGGAGGATGGTGAAGCAGAAGATAAACCAGTGCAAGGATGCTCAACGACAAGAGGAACTGAGC